GCAGTTGTAACGATGGTGAAATAGTAGTGTAATGACACCCTCGGCTAGAGGAATCCATTGAACGATAACTCCTTATCACAGAACAAAGGGAAACGGATTTCTCTCAAATACCACCCCCCCCCCTTTCTGTTTGTGAAGTGGTACGGCTGAACGGAGGGGGGGGGGTAGGGGTGGAGCGAGGGAATATTAAATTATGTATTGCGTTGTAATGCCCATAACAATGTATTCCTTTCTGCAGGGTTAAACGAAAATACATATAATCCGTCTGCCCCACGTTCACATCCTGCCGTAGTGCAGCGCTGCTTTTGTACCCAGCGCGAATGCTCAATTCCTGCATCTCATAACTGATGCATTTCCAGAAAACAAGCCATTCATCTCGCCCTTGTGCGCGGGGCTACATGCAGCCAGTTGTAGTAATTCACTTGAGCTCTAGTTGAATAAGGTTTTTGTGTGCGAGGTTTTGGTATAACAGGGGCAGCTTTAAAAAAAGGCAGATGGGGGCTTCTGATATTCGCAATTGTAAATACAGAGAAGTGTAGCTTCTGGGGTTTTAACATAAACCTGCGGGGGGGGGGGGGGGTTGAAGTATACTGGCGGTATACACTTCTGAGTACATGCTGTTACTGATTACTGGGCACTGTTTTGCTTTCCCGCTGTAATAGTCAAACAAGGTAATGGATTTCAGTTCAAAGGAATCCACAAAGGAATAGCATGGATCTCTATTCTGTGCAGATAACCCATTTCAGCTGTTCTGTGTCAACTCTTTATAAACTAATTTAGTTTCTAATTTTACCAACTACTCCATTAGTTTAAAACAATAATGGTTTTCTGTTACAGACATTTATTGGTTCATTTGGTGGAGGGGAGTGTGTATCAAGCGAAATATGCTTATACTAGCACTGGCTGATGTATCGCTCGTGTTTTAAACAGTAATCACTTTAGGCAAAGGAACAGTTTGGCATGACAAATTTTGTATAATTCTGTCATGTATTACAGAAGCTATTAAATGCAAACTTTGCAATCTCGCAATCAATAACGCCGACAGTTAAAACTGAAGCGGTGCCAGCAATATAAAATCTCCGCCGTGTCTGGTTGCTAGGGAGCCGATCTGAAAGCAAAAGAGCTTAGAAAAATGAAATAATGCCGGCTAATATAAATCATCAAAAAGGGCGTTTTAAAGTGACACCGGGGTGTATTTCGCAGAATGCCTTGTGATGCGTTTCGGTTACAAAGATGGCGCGAAAGAAACGGCTAAGTCGATGCCCCAAATGGAGTATGAAGAACTCCCTGTTCCGGTGTATTGCAAATCCTTTAATGTCGTTTATTCCTTGCCATCCAAAGAACAATCTTCAGAAATGTAACCAGGAGGCAATAAGTGGCACATTGGACTATTTTTGTAATTAAGTTCAGGAACATATTCGTGCAGTAGTGTTTTTTTTTCCAGGCGCATAGTTTGAATAGAAAGCTTCCTGTGGGTTTTGGTAACCTTTTTTGAAAATATGGTATGCTTTGAAGAGTTTTCAAACACGCTGTGAAAGAAAAGCTCTTCGGACTTCTAATGGCTCTTAATGAACAGATCTGAACTGAAGAGGAACTTTCTTGGACGAGATATAGGCAGCCCCCTGACAGCTGAGAGAGAAGTACGCCTGAGCACATATTAAAATAGCTTAATAAAAACAGATTATTTCTTGTATCAGCGTGAAACCGTCGCATAAATGCGCTACCTGCACGTTGTTTTCAGTCTATTATTGGCAGCTCCTTTTCCTGATATAATGAGAAACCGTGTGCCAACCACTAAATGTCACATCTTTTATCAGCAACGGTTTGATGTTGAACTTCTGTGTTGCTCGTAGTCGTACACGTGTTAAAAAAAACCCTCATTAATTCAGCTGTAAAAACCAATAACTCTGCACGGTTAAAGCAATTAGAACAGTTCACTTTCGGTTTTTGCTTCTTTTTTTTTGCTTTAGAATATTTTATGTGTGTTTTGATTTTCTGTTGAGCCAAAGCTTGTGGAAAGGAATAGTCTTCCTTGGATTGTGCTGTGCATTTCTGCTTGCCAGCTTCTCAAAGAGTGCCCTAATGAGATGAACACAATGGATAATTCAGGAGCGCCGCAGAAGTGAATGTGTAGTGACTAATCTCAGTCAATGAGATATCTCATTGGGATATTTACTGGAGAACACCAACAGGCTAAATGAGTTCAGGTTATGCAGATCGACAAAGGTGGAAAAAACGTGTCGCCTGTTTGAACGCAAGCTGCTCACATCTTGCAAAACACAAGACATGATTGTGGTTTTTCAGCCCTTTGTCATCTCTCTGCAACTATACCCTTTACCTCAAGGCAAGCAGATGAGTGGACAAGGAAATCCAAATTTAAACAAACAAAATGTTTTGTTAACAAGTTGCAAGAGAGATCCAATCTAAGAGGAAAATACTTTTTTTTTTTGCCCTTAAAAGTATTTTGTAACATAATTACATGGTTGTGAAATTCTGAGATAAGCAACAGTTCTTGAGTTTAGTCTTTATTTTAGAGCAAGAGTTTTGTCTAGTCTAGAGGCAAGGAGGGGAGGATACACAGCAGTTACTCATAGCTATTTTTTCATATTTCATGGAGCTAAATATATTTCTGACCCAGGAGCTAGAAAAGACAAGAACCTATAAAGAACAAGAGGAAGAAGAAGAAATTGAATGTGTTGAGACTGAGTAGCTGGGGGGGTTAAGATACTGTATTGGGATGTGCTTGTTTTTCAGGGTGGGGCAGAGTGGAAGTGTATTTTTGTAGCATGTGTTTGACTTTCATAGAGGACATATATGATTTGGTTTCAATGTACAGCAGTAAGAAAGTACTGCTGGCTTTATGAGCAAGATTTATTTTAGCTTTTGACAGCCATCCTGAGATATTCCTAAACACATATTTTGACGTTTATAATCTCTGGATAAAATTACATTGGTGCTGCAGTCTTCCATCCAGATAACTTTCATAAAAGGCACACAATGAAACACCGCAACGCAGGCGCCTTCGTTGTTTGCGCGATGTCCAGCTGTGGAGTACCGAGCGCGTCACTAGAATCTGGAACGTGGAAGCCAATTTTCCCTGATCAGAGGACATGTGAAGCTTAGCCAAGCAGATTTCATAGGCTGATTCTGCGGCCAATCGGTGCATACCTGTTTTCGCAACAAAGGTTGCTTGTGGAGAGCACTGAGCGAAAATTGCATAATGTGATTTTCCTCAGCCTGTAATGATAGTGCAGCCCCAACCAATTAAAATGCAAAGATAAGAATTCCTTTATTTAGAAGTGTAAGATTTTATTAGGAAAATGGCTGTGAAGCGGAAGGGCTTTAGTTACTTCCTCTAGTCTATTCACACAGAGTGAATCTAATCAGATAACCTACAAATGGATCCCTCTGAGTTTGGTTAAGATCAGCGCGGCTCCTTGGAACCTCGAACGATTTTTGACAACAACCTCAGCTGCCTCACTTGCTCTTAGTAGTGAGTACATGTTATCGTTAAGTATTTTGGGAAGGCGGAGATCCGTCGAACAAGCGAGAACACCTACTGTACACGGTTGGCCTGCTGAATGAACTAACACACAATGCAATAACTGTGAAAGCTGTCAATGAATAAGCCGTGGGAATGCAAATAATGAACCGCATGTACCGGTTGGGAACCAAACTTAAATTCCCTATTTTTATTGCGTATGCTCTTTCTGTATATACTGTGCTAAATGAACTATTAAAGATTTTTAGAAGGGAGGAAGCCATTACTCATATGAGTTATACTATTAAAACTTACCACCACCCCCCTCCCTGCCCCCGTCACAATAGGAAAGTGTTCTGGGGCCATTGGTCATTAACCGATTACCTATTTAGTCATGTATATCATTGCAAAGAAAGGAAATATAGCAAGAAAAATCCCATGATACTCAACAAGCACTGTCAAAGAGGGCAACCTTGAGCTTCCCAGCCCCCCCCCCCCCCCCCCCCCCCCCCCCCCCCCCCCCCCTCTCCCCACATCTTCAAGGCTATGTGTAAGAGGACAGAGAACACAGTGGTGGAAAGAGAGGGGAGCGCAGAGCATGTGGGGAATTTAAAAGGGGATATTATTCATGCAAAGGTCCAATTAAAGGATAAGCAAAATCAATAGGACATTTTGAGCACTTCTGCATTCATCCAGAGACATTAAAAAATAGATGAATTTTTGAAGTTCATTTCAAATCCTGTAGCTGTTACAGTCACGGATAGAAATACATAATTAACAGCGTTATGTAACTGGATTTTTATATATCTTCTTTGCGGAAGAGGTAATGAAGATAATTTGATGGTGTATAAAAAGATATTGAAATCTGGTTTTAGGTTTAAAAAAAACCAAGCCAAGTGTTTTCTTTTGGGGTATGTCAGTCAGTGGAAACTGTGCGCATGTTCTCCGGCCCTCAGTGTCACGTTCCCAGAATGCGGGGCCACTTTACGTCCCTGTACTGCTTTTTCAGCCGGACCCCAGCCCTCTGACGTCTTTAGGCATGGTTTAGACTGTAACAATAGATGTTAACTCCTGTCTTAGGAATAGATTTTTTTTTTCACTGGGTGTTTAATGCCTTGTGATTGGCTTAACAATCGCGGGGTTTCTGGTTGAATCTCAGAGGACCTAACACTGTGACTCTTGAAGCCATATTAACTGAGTTGACTTTCTGTTGGATGTAATAATATTGCTTCAGCAGCAGGGATTCCAGCGAGTCTTCAGGAGCCCATATTGTGCGGCCTAATCTATCTGTACTGAATGGCATGGCTTGCTTCCCAGATATTTTCGCTTTGCCAATCCTTGCAGAGAGCCGTCATGTGACAACAGCTGCTTTGGATCCGCACGGAAAATTAAAGGAAGCCTGCTTGGTTTTCCGTCAGTTAACTGTTACATAAAACGACAATCTGCGCGAATTTGCACTGCGATTAAAGTGCTTAACGCCAACCTTGTGTTTTTTTTTTGTTACCCCTCCTTTCACCAGGTGAGGATGGTGAAGAGAAGAGAGTTCTGGTGCTGAGCTACCCGCAGTACTGCCGGTTCCGCTCTATTGTCGTACGGCTACGCGAGCGGCCCTCCTCCCTGCTGACGGACCATGTGGTTCTAGCGCTGGGTGGCATCGCCTCGTTCAGCAGCAACACCCGCATCCTGTACTGCCGTGACACCTTTGAGCATCCCACGCTGATCGAGAACGAGAGCGTCTGCGACGAATTCGGTAAGAGCGCCGGGGTGCCACGTCTCCGCACGGAACACCGGCCGACCCGTCCAGCACTTGTCTTCCTTGGGCACACTCTTGCCCGAGCAGAACCATTCCTGGCCATTTCAAGCCACATTAAATCGATTACGGTTAATCACCTGATGGACTAACAAACCAATGAGTATAATGGGCAGTTTGAAAATGAGTTCAGGTTTAATTGCTAAAGCACCACATAATTTAGAGATTATGTGAAGAGACACGGCTGGATCTGACTGGAAGGTCTCATGGGAAATGAGAAGACAGTGGCGGATTATCTGGCTATACCTTCATGGATGATACGACCAATGAGAAAAAGATAAGATACTTTCAATGGGGCTGTGATATGGATGTACTCTGTCTTGATTGAATGAATCACAATTGACCTGACCTCATCTTTGACCTTATTACTGACAAGTGCCATATTATTTGTATAATTACATCATGCAGCCAACGATTTTTTTTGACCCTCCAAATATATGCCGTGTCACCTATACAAAGCAGAAGGCTTCAGTACTTTAATTCTGGGATGTTTTGCAAGGAGGCTTAATTAACTAGTGAGTACACTAGTGTGTTTATGTTTTTCTATGCTAAGAGGCTAATCTCATAGCATTATCAAAACTCACTTACCTGCCCAATTGTAACTAAGGGCATGAGGTCTGGGGTGGTAAATCCTTCTCAATGGGAACTTAAACATTAATAGGGACGACGGTGGAGAGAAGCAATGCAAACAGATTCCTGTAAGGTGAACGGGGCATTCATTGTCTTGGGTAAGTTTAATCTATGCATTTTTACACTCGCTAGTTGGTGATGATTTATGGCATTTGGGGAACTAGTTAAGTTCTTTTTAAAATTGTCATCTGCTTTTCTTTTTTGGTTTTTATAGTATGTTTCATCGTGTTTTAACATAGTATAATTCACTGCAATATTAGTGATAAAATGATTGGGGAATGTAATTTATTTGTGCCTAGGGATAAGGCATGAAGTCATGATTCTTTTTAAGCATTACCACATGCTGTATTTATTTTATTTTGAACATGAAACAAATCTGAGACAAATCTTTTATGCTTGGAAAGACGGACGCTTGGCAGGAAAGCCGCTGCGTTCAGATAAGTGTTCAGACTCCAGCGTTTTGAACCACGTAACAAGAGTTTAACGCTCATAGCTTGTGAAACAAGTCCAGGGATGTTAGACTGAGAGCCATTAAACTTTAGAGGGAAACAGGAAGACTAAAGCATACTTTAGGAAGTATGTGATGCAAAACAAGTTATTACTTTTCATGCTTGCAGTTTTTTTTTTTTTTTAATTAATCCTAAAGCCCTTCTTTATCGCTGGACTGGGTTTCGTGTTTTAATTGTTTTCCATGTGCATGTATGTTATTTTACTGTCCCATAAGGACATACAGAATTTTAAGTTACTTTAAATGTAATCCGCAATTTGCTGGGCCCTGTGCCCATAAGTACTGATAAACACACTCCATAAGCGGTAGGGAGGGCTTCTCCTCACCCTGCTTTTGCGGTGTGAACACTTACCTTAGAACAGGGGTGCCCAACTCCAGTCCTGGGGGGCCGGAGCCCTGCACATTTTTGGGTCTCCCCTCATTTAACACACCTGATTCAACTCCTTGTGCTAATTACCACATAGCACTTGAGCTGAATCATTTATGGTGGAACAGGGAAAGAACTAAGCTACACAGGGCTCCGGCCCCCCAGGACTGGAGTTGGGCACCCCTGCCTTAGAATCTCACTGGTCTCCTTAGAGGAGCTTTAGCCATCTCAGGCCCTACATATTTCCGGCACACTCCGCCAAACAGCAACGAACACGCACTGACGAGATTATGGCGCTTAAACTCCTAAGATTCCAACTGCGAGAAACCCTGCAGCCCAAGTACAGATAACAAATGAAAACTTAGGAATGAAACGATGCCTTATGAATGTAATCAGGAGTCTGGTTAATTATTGAACTGAGTTTGTTGGTTGATTGTCAGTTGATTGCTGTGCTATTTTCTCTCTTTGAATCATTTCCTTTTTCTTCGCTGTACTGACTCAGAATCCTAAGAGAGCGTATTTTACATTGTTACGCTTTTTTTTTACGCAGGCATCTATGAAGTGATAACAGAATACAATATTTATATCCTGGTGCTTTTAATTAAAGTAGGGTTGTTATAAAGCTTTTGTAATTTGTGTGGTTGAGGCACTCTAGAGTTGAGTAACACCCTGAAATCCTTTTGGTTGTTAATTTGGTCGTTTTTTTTTTGTCATGCATATAGGACTCTGATGTGTTTTTGTACGTCTTTGTCTGCCTTTATCTATTTATTTAGTAGCCTTGAGAAATATATTCGCGCAAATGTAATGCAGACAGGGATATGCAAAAATAATTATGGACAAACCACTTCAATTAGCATGTCCAGGTTTTTAATGTTTTACAAACTAAACACTTTTTATTCTGTCCAGAGAAATCCTCTGTGACAAGAATGCCTTGTGTATTATTATAGTATGTTTTGTGCATAACAATGAAGGGTGAATTAATGATATCCTCTCGGCTAATGGAAAAGATGTGCAAGACAAAAGAACACATTGTTATCTTTCATCAAGAGGCCGTCTGTTCAAGCCTTTACCCTGAAGAGTGTTAATAATGTACACCTTTATAAATCAAATTATGGGAACATTACGTTTAAGTTACCTTCCCGCTGTGGCTTCAATAGCCCCAGTTTGGAAAGCGTACATTCACGTTTTATTTCCAGGCTCGTTTCCTACGTGTGTTTGCCGCAAATATTGCCGTGAAAATGGGTCATTTGTTGTTTTTTTCTTTGAAAAGCAGCGCTCCGAATGGCGTATCTCAACGATGTCGTCAGTGGGCTTTTTATGTAATTGCTGGCGACGTGTTTAACAAGCAAAAACGTGGCCTTGTACGGCTGATCGAATGTTTCCAGCGCGGGGTCCAGCGCTGAAGGGGGAAATGTTCGCCTTTACATCGGCATTTCCAAGCGGCGCGCAAAATATGCAGCGCTGTTTAGGAAGATGCGACGAAGACGCCTGGAAGCCGTAAGAAAGTGGGCGAAGCCGCTTCTGGTGAGAACATGTGGTTCGGGGAACATTTGAATAATTAAATACAGAGAAAAGATCTATCATTCGGTGTATGATCGCGGAATATTGTGAAACATCAGGCCCTGTGATATACTCTATACCCGAAGGAAATGAAAATTAACTTTTTTACCCAATTCCCCCCGGAGAATGAAACGGCACAAGACATGCTCCTTTAATAAACCGAGTACTGTATTTTGAAATCAGATTTTGGATTTCTGCATATTCACAGCAGATTTCTATTTATAGTGCACATTTCTGTTGACCACATGGGATATAAAATTGTCCTAGTTCCTGCGTTGAGAAAGAAAATTAAATACCAGCGGTTTGTTTGTTTGAAACGGTGCTGCTTGCATTTCACTAAACATAAGCAGTTACTGAAGTGGGAACATTTCTCAAATTCTTCGGAGACCTTGCTTGTATCTGGCTTGGGTGGCCGCATACAGGTTATTAATAATATCCAGATGTTCCAAACAGCTATATTTTTGACCGGATGGACATTGTGTAATGAGAATTGCACAGTTTAAACGTTTAATTCATTAAAACATGGTCTCTTTGAACGATTTGGTAAACAGTGTAAGGCGATTACGGCCTCCTGCGCACGGGACGAAAGGTAATTAGAGCTATTTAAAAGGTGTATTTTAGTGATCTGATAGTGAGACACGCTGATAAATCTTGGCTTTGGCTGCGATCCGCGTTAAATCGTGCCCAAAACTGAGATCATGCTCTCGTTCTTAATAAGCCATTTTAGGTATTACGTTGGATCATCTTTGATATTTTCCCTTTCACTCATTTGCAGTCTGGATTGTATTACTTAAGGTCAGGAATTTCTAAACTGCCAGATGCGTTATCCATTCATATCCGTGATTGAGAATTCAAGGAAAAACTGAAACGATGAAATTATTATTATTCTACCCCCCCTACCCCTCCCCCCTAGTGGTCCCTAGGCAGAACTTCCCCGTGCAGTTCATTTCAAAGCAGAGGTACTTTTTAGAATCTGAAAGCGTTTTATCCCTGAATGATATTTGCATAATTGTCTGGTGAGATATTATTCCCATAATTCGTAATGAATAACATGCAAGGAGCCCGGATGCGTATTGTGGAAGTCTCTGGCAGTAAAACAGCCTTGAGAAATATCCTTTGCTGGGTAAAGTACAGCAGCGTTTCAAATAAAACTACACATACATATAATTAGTGGTCGGTCCAGTAAGTCTGCAAGGTCACTGTTTTTATCAGTTTGACGAAATTCTCCGTTGCTTTTGCTTCAGTTTCTTAAGGAGCGGGAGATTTCGAGGTATCCACACTCGTGTAATGATTCCCAGTTGTTTGGAGCCATTTTGAAAGCAATCAGTCTGACATTTAAGACCCTGCTCTCCAGCACATGTGGATTGTACAATAATATGTGCCGCTAGAAACTCATAAAGACAATACTTCGACACGGTGATCCAGTTTACAACAACATGTCTCCATTTCAAATGAATTCTCTCAGATGTCTTGAGAGATCATAGCCCCCCCCCCCCCCAGTCTGTTGCTGTTGACCTTATCCAAAACTTTTTAAAATGTTTTTTTAATCCTTACGTGTTAAACATTTCTTAATGTTCTTAATTTTTATGTGTATGTGAGGTGGAAAAAAAAATAATGACACCACATGAAATAGGACTCTAACGTCAAAGTAACTAAATCACAACTAAAGACACGGTTACAAAGTTGAGTCATATTAGCTTGAATGCCAGTAAGCAGTATATGCATCAGCTATGAAAGCAGTCTGATGGTCAGCACTTTGATATGTGAGTTTTCAAAGCGACATGAGACAACCAAAAGAGGCCAAATGATCAACTTGCAGGTGCATTGGCCACGAAAACTTCAGCCTTATTTAATGTGTCAAGGGGAGATGAGTGT